CTCTCTCTCTCTCTCTCTCTCTCTCTCTCTCTCTCTCTCTCTCTCTCTCTCTCTCTCTCTCTCTCTCTCTCTCTCTCTCTCTCTCTCCTGTAGATACAGCTAGAGGTAGTTAGACCCCCCACGACTAGGTAAGCACAGCTCTTCTTCCTCCTCTTCTTCACAATCTTTTCCACTCCAGTGACTTGAGTGAGAGAGAAGGGCACGCGACCAAAGCCAAGAGATCTCTCCTCTCCAACAGCAAAAAAGGATGATGACACAACAAAGCGAAACAAATGTTGAAACAGTCCCACGTCAAAGATGCCATCCTTTCCCGGCCATGCCAAGACCTTTGCTTGACTTTGCTCGCGCACCAATCACATCGCCTCGGATCATAAGCCGTACCTAGTACAGTATACCTTGATCCTTTCCAAGCACAAGTTGCACAACCACATAGGCACTTGGCACCTTTCACAAGCTACGCTCCTTTAAGCGATATGTATAATGTACCTTGTGCATACCAAGCCTCGACAGCTACACAGCATGCGATCCACCGGTTTAGCTTATTGTATATAGTCATATGCCAAGTAGAAGCCGGCTATACTAGTGACTTTCATCTCTAGCGGCCGAGGAAGGCCGAATGTAGACGATAGTCATGTCGTCAACAATTTCCAGCGAGTTGGTAGGTATACAGCACCTCAGATCCAAGCCTTAGGCCAAGGTAAATCTATATGTCTGGTAAGGTACATATAGGTAAGTAATGTGACTTGTTGTGAGTATAGGTATAGCAAGGTACCTCCCCTTTCAATCGCGATGATAGCAGATTGCATTCAGCGTGGCTTGAATTGAATTGGCTTGACTAGGCTGTAAGAAGAGGCCATCGTGAGACCGATGAAGCGCACTACAGGTACCTACCTCTGTATTATATTTAAGTGGGTAAGCTTGAACGCTAAGGTATTATTGAGAATGAATGCATGGTGAGCGAGCGAATGTAATATGATGAATAGGCTGTAGGTATGTCTCTAGAGTCGCTTGAAAAGGGAATGAAATCTGATCTTCGTCGTGAGTGGTAGCTATAACGCCGAGCAAGAGTAAGAGTCAGAGTAAGAGTACATGTGTATGCATTTTCATCATTCGTGGTATCGTTCCCGAGGCTTCATTGCATGTACTTGGGCAATGGTGTAGGCTCGTAATGCTGCGTGTCTTTGTCATCCTCCTTCGCAGAGAGGTCTTGGGCCATAATGTGACCAGGTCAACTCGAGGACGTGGGTCTTTGCCCGCCTGGCTGGTTCAGATAGTCGAAGAAACCCAGACTCGTAGCTTGTGACACCTGCCAAGCTAGCAGAAAAGAGTCCTGGGAGGCTTTGTAGTCGATATTGCTGAGAAATCTCGGAGTAGCCAGGACAGCTGGCAGGCCCATCTCGAAGCTGTGATGAGTTAGAAAACATCGCTTAGATTGACTGATATGCGCAAATGGGAAGCTCACCAGTGTGCGACCAGGCTCTGAAAGTCTGGATCGGTCATTGCATGGGTGACTTTGTTGGCTGCGAACGAGTTGGGTTCGACGTGGACGAGCCAGCCATCTGCAGCAAGTGTTTGGGCGATCGTGTCTATACTGCACATCAGCATCGCTCATCGGATCGTCCAGGAGGAGTACATACCCAGCGATTGGGCCTCGACACCAGTGGCAGCAGCAAGCTGAAGCATCGGGACGGCGCCGGGAGACCTTCTGGCAAGATGGCCAAAGAGGTCGACGTCTACTGCAATGGCGAGGGCGCACATTTTGTGAGCCTAGTAGAGGCCGTCAGTGGTGAATGAGAGGGCACGAGAAGCAGTACTAGGTACGAACATCCATCGATTGTTTCTTCGATACGAGAGTAGTGGTTCGCCGACGTTTGCTGACCGGATACTCCAGGCCATCTGTTATAATGGGCTCCATGATATCGTCACTGAGTGCAAGTCGTACTGTGAAATCCGTCCGCCTGAGGTGTAGCTGGTAGTGATTCCTGGTGACAGAAAGAGCAGTGTGGGTAAGGTAGGTGAGCTCTGAGTACGTCGACCAGGTAATGAGAGAATGCTGCGGAGCTGCAAGAGTCAGTACGACGAGTGTCAGGAACTCGCATTGAGAAGTAAGAGGTAAACATCGTCCGATACGTCGCATAAGCGTTTCGCTGGCTCAGCATATGTTGCCACGCCAGCAGTAGAGTCTCGAACATCAGGCCAAGGCCGATCCAGGAACAGTTTCTGGCGACAATGCAGATCAGCATCTGGCACCAGGCGGCTCAGATTACACACCACAGGGTCGGCCCCATCCCATCACAGGTACATGTCGCGGACAATGCAGACTCTGTACGAGCGTGTGTCTGCGGAAAAACTCTGACAGCAGCAAGAGTCTAGATCGTCAGATGAATGCCAACAACCAAGATTGCGGATGCGTCCCGAAACGGCGTCCAGGGATACGAGGTTCACGGTATAGAAGCAAATGCAAGAGTCACGCGGGGCACATGGCGGCGACATGTCGGGTGTAGAGAGCAGCGTCCCAGAGGAGATGTTGGCCGGCGACAGTGCACGGCATTGACAGTCCAGGGCGACGTTCTAGACTTGTGCACAGCTGCAGAGTCCGTGGAGAGAGTCTAGAGAGTGCAAGGAACACCCGGGCATGTTGTGGCCAGACCAGTCATTCTAGACATATCTCCCAGGTGAATTGGTACCTCTAATAGGACGGCACATAAAGGAGATTGGCCCCAAGAGAAAAGAGACAAGAACAACAACAACTTTGCAGGACCATCGCGGGATCGAGCAGGTCAACAACGTCAATGTTCGATGTCGATGCCGATGCCGATGCAGAACTTGCCCTGTGCTCTGTCTCTCGGCTTTGGCGAGCTCTTGGCAGACGACCAAAAAGTACACTCTCGATAGTTCCGGGACGAGCCGAGGTTTCCCTCAAGCCATCTTGCGCCAGTTCGACCACCCACCGTACCGAATACACGCCGTTGGAGTCAAAGTGCACTATACCGTATGTTAGGTAGGAGGTATGTATATGTACATGTACCTCCTAGGTGATACTTCCTAGCTATCCATGTTACTATACACGCCCGCAAGCGACATGTCATCCTCTTCCGTAGATGCTACATCAGGTACCTGTATGCTCCCGCCTTCACCAGCGGACCTGAGCACAAAATCCTTCTCATCGCCATGTCGTCTCTACCGGCTAAACCATTCGACTCCCCGTGGTATCTCCCTCAGCGCTCCGTCGCTCGTGAGTGTTCACCTTATCTACCAATGCTGCGCCGGTCCAGATACAGGTATAGTAGACGTCTCCACTCATGCATTCACCACGGCGGCAGGGCGATCGGTAAGCTCTTAGCGCCGCCACGTGAGGAACATGGCCGAAAAGGCGCAGCTGCCTTGCCTCGCCGCGCCGTGTCGTCTCTCCCGTTTTTCTCGGGAAACGAAAGGTGATCTGCTCATATGGACGACGACACGGCGCAATCGAGAGACCACCGGACGGCATGCAAACTCCCCCAGACATCGATGACTCGGGAGCCCGTCGGGAGGATGCCGAACCCGACGACGACGACAACGTGGAGGTCCTCTCCGATAGGGCATTCGGGCGGAACCATCGACGCCACCTGGAATCCTCCACGTATGCCGCTCGCACTACCACTCAGGACAAGCAAACCGCTCGACGCCAGAAGCGGGCTGCCAACAAGCAACATCCTCCGGTGCTGACACCAGAGAGCGGACCTGATGTCGCTCTGGTCCTACACAAGCCGTCCTCGGCCACGACGCGGCTGCGGGTGGAGCTGGTTGACATGATGGTCCGGACCCATCGCAGTGAGATCTGGTATGACTTGCTCCCAGCTCGTATCGGCCACAGCGATGCCATCGACTCTGCTGCCAAGGCTCTTATCAAAGCCTCTGACCTGGCATCGCGAAGGACCAATGTGACTGAAGAGAGCTGCCTGAGCAGCTACAATCGTGCCATCACCTCCGTTCGGGATGGCATGATCAAGTCTTCCAGTGGAGATGACCTACTGTGTGCGGTGGCACTCCTGGTCAATTTCGAGCGCCTGTTCTCGGGTTGGACTTCTGCACCGATGCGCTCTCACATGCATGGCATCATGGCCATCTTTATGGCGCAGTCCAAGGGACCCCACAAGCCTCCGTCTGAGCTAACCCGTACCTTGGTCTACACTTTCTGGGCCGTGGGCTTCATCGGGCCCTGCGTAATGGGCACCGCATCTCCTCTCGAGGTCCCACGCTACCTGGATCTGGAACCGGTACCATTCGCCAAAGACAAAATGTCATGTCCGTGGAGCGCAGTGGCGAAGTTGAGGAAACTGGGCAATCAGCAGTTCATCCGGTTGCCTCGTCTCATTATGCTATTCAAAGGGGTCCAGAGTGGGAAGCAGCCCCAGGACCTGGAAGCTGCGGTATTGCTCGCAAAAGAGCTCCTCGAGATGCATGATGATGCCGCCGAGACGGAGATGCTGCACCATGTGACAGTCCAGAAGGCTGAGGAAGACCCCAAGATCGAGACCATGCCTTATCTTATGAAGTTCACAACCATGGGCGAGTTCGAAGCAGCAATGCATTACTGGTCCACGCAGATCATTCTCCTCCGCTTGTGTTGGCGAATGAGCCGCCTGTTCTCGGCCAAGTATGAATCGCACGGACTCTGGTCGAAATCGAGACTGGAAACTCAGATATCCCGAATGAGTGCCAACGTGCTGATGGCTGCACCGTGGGGCCTGAACAAAGGTGAGACGGGGCGAAGCTGCGAAGTACTGGATCTTGTAGCAGTCTGGGGCGCTCTGAACGACTTTGATGTGTTTGCAGCTCGCAAATTGGCACCAGCCAAGGCACGATCTTTACTGTTGTATGCTGGACAGATTGTAATGGGCATATCGGGCGAGTCCGCTGCCGCGGAATGTGCGGACAGACTCAGTGCCGCTGCTGAGCTCTTCATTGGGGGACAGAGCTCTGGCATCCTGGCGTTTACATTCAAGAAATCAGGTCCTTCGGGCTGAAGCGGCAACGACGTCCTGCGGAAAGGGGCCCGATCCATCGAACCAGCGCCTAGTGTGCGCATACTCTGCATACACCTTGGCATATATGAATGGTGAGTAGGAATCCGAACCAAGCCCGGCCGGCCTAGCCGTGACGGCCAAATGCCGACCTTTGACGATCATGTGTGCAAAGTCTTGATGTATGTGTCTGGGCTAGAAGCGACACGTCAGATCATGGCTATCGAGGATGTGGCGAGATCGCACCCAGCACAGTCGCTACCTAATCTATCACATCTGGTATCTGTATCGAAGCACCAACTGCAGAATTACGTAGACAGACCGGGACATAGGTGTTTCCAGTCGGGCAGCGTGTTGAGGTTCTCGGTGCGTTGTACCCTCTTGCGCTCCACAAATCATGTGACGGGGCAGGAGATGTTATCTGGAAGAAGTCGTGGTGTGTGACAGCAATCCATAACATGATTGAACTCTTGTCCATCTTTGTTCACGAGGAGATATAGCTGGTGGCTTGCTGGAAGCGACGTGATGACTTGCAGATAGTGTGACTTACTAATTCCCCGTATACCCCCGTCTGGCATATGACCGTGATCTTGAAGCACTCTATCCCACGCCAAACACTACTAAGGTACATGTAGGTAAGACGTTCGTGGGCCTCGGTTGCCGTTTGTGTTCATTGACGGCTCTAAGTCAATAAGGTCCGGGGCGCTCCGTAGCCAAGACTGCAGTGCTGCTGCTGTTCATGGTGCCGATCTGCAGGGCGAGAGTATAATTGTCTGGCGGCGGACCGAGTTTGTGCCAGAGATGCCGCCGACGTAGACGCAAAACACTTCTCTAACCCGAACTGCGACTACTGTATACTGTGCAACACCGTGAGACGGGAGGCGACGCTCACAATGGCGTCTGGCGGTCGTGGACACACGATTCATATGACCCAAGCAGAGTCAGACCGCATTCGCCAAACGGTACAGACCAGACTGAAAAAATGCGAAGAAGGTCGAGGCAAAGCCCGCACTCCGAGGGAGCCCAAAGCGGCCGTCAGTGAGGCAAAACAAGCTGGGCTGATGGCTGACATGAGTGGCGAAGTACAGCCTGGTCTGTCGGTCTACGCGGGCCGCGACAACATTGTCGCCCTTGCTGTCGGCACTCCATATGCCCCTAGCACTACGCCGATGGCTCAGCTGAAGCCCATATCGCTTGCGGAACTGACCATTGACACCCACCATCATGGGTCCGTGCTCGCAGTGAAGCGGACTGGGCCTGTAGTACCGCTCATCGCTTACTCGTGGACCGTTGTAGAGGACGATGCGGGCCATGCCGAAAGACTGGAAGTATGCCTACATAAGTCGAAGCGAGGCGAAGACATGCTGGATTCTGCCCGGGAGTTCAAGATCAAAGAGCCGTACTTCACCATCAATGAACAGGGCGAGGCTACCATTCGCGTCAATCACCCTTCCGATCTTGTATGTGTCAAGGCAGTCGACAAGGCCAATTCGGCTGCAAAGTACAAAGACAGGGGTAATGCAGCCTTGAAGCGTGAAGAGTTGGTGGAAGCTGCAGACTACTATGCCGCAGGGTTGCGACTGTGCGAGCAGGATGCAGAAGCAGCAGGGTCTATCGTTTACGATCTTTACCGCAACCGGGCGCGCGTGAACCTGACCTTGCATAGACTGGAAGAAGCCCAAGCAGATGGTATCGCCGCAATCACAGGAGGGGAAGACGAAAAGTCTCGAACCCTCGACACCAAAGCCAAGTTTCACGCTGGACGAGCCGCTTACTTTCTTGGAGATTTCGAGCAAGCGAAGCAGCTCTTCACCACAGCACTCACTCTGACGCCCCACGACAAAGACACTCAACTTCTCCTTCGCAAAACGGAAGCTCGCCTCCGCGAGCAAGCATCCGGCGAATATGACTTTGCCTCCATGAGATCTCAACTCTCCCCAGTCAGACCCCGAGTCGATGCGGCAACCTTCACCGGTAATACCGCCATTCGATCGAGCCCTCTCGGTGGTCGCGGTCTCTTCGCCACCCGAGACATCGCTCCCGGCGACATCGTTCTCTGCGAAAAGGCGTTCAGTGTCGTCTGGTCGCACGAACCCGAAGCTTGGTCCGCAATGACCTACGATGTACGCGATGACAAGATCCGAGTGTTTCCCGCCGGACTGGCCGTTGCTTTGACTCAGAAGTTGTTGAACAATCCGGGCCAAATTGGCAAAGTCATGGACTTGTACGGAGATTGGAAGAGCCCTGGCCTTCCCAGCAATAACAGCAGCAGCAGCAGCAGCATCACAAAAGACCACAATGCAAGTGACCCAGACGAAGGAGCAGGAGTAGAAGCGATAGTCGACACCTTCGCCATCCACGACATCATCTGCCGCAACGCCTTTGGACCCGGAGCAATTTCCCCCGGAGGAAACTACGGCGAAGAAGACATCCGCACAGCCAGCACAGGTCTCTGGCTCATAGCCGCCTCAGCCAACCACTCCTGCATACCCAACACCAAAAAAGAATTCCTAGGAGACTTTCTCCTCCTCCGCGCCACGAAACCAATTTCCCCCGGCGAAGAAATCACTCACTCGTACACCCCCATCGATGATGATGATAATAACAATAATAATCATCCTCCTCCAACAAACGACGTCGACGCCCGCGCCGAAGCACTGCGCACGACATGGAATTTCACCTGCTCCTGTCCCCTCTGCGAAGCCGAACGCGCAGATGGGAAAAGTCTCAGAGAGACTCGCATGGAATTGGCCGGTCAGGCGGCTGCTTTCTTGGAATCTACTCCTTCAAAGAATCAAAATGCGAAGAGAGTCATGGTGGCGAAAGCAGAGAAAATTTCTCGCGCTCTGAGAGAGACGTATGATGAGGAGAGATGGAAGGGGTTGCCGAGGGTTATGGCTAGGCCGATTGAGGAGTGGTTGGAGGGGGCGAGGAGGGGGAAGAGGTAGGGAGGGGTGGGGAGGGGTGGGGTGAGGGGGGACTGATAGTGGTCGTGGTTGGAGGGATATAGATTTATCAAAGTTGTATCCATTCACCGGAGCAGACAGGCTTACTTTACGGAGCTTCCGCGGTTCACATCGGAGGTGATGATGGATCGCAAAAAAGAGAGCAAGAGATAGAGAGAGGAAGAAAACAACAGAGACAGGGAAAAGCAAGGGTGAAGAAAAACATCAAATGTGATTTCCATTCTTCAGTTTCTTTTCGATCTCATTTCAAGTTCATCTCTCAGTTTCATCGTCACAAAGGTCCGTCATCCTTGTCATCTTTCGGGTTTCTTCCGGAGGCAGCCGTCTTCTCTGCTGCTGCTGCTATTGCTGCTTATTATCCCCCAGGAAGAAACCGAGTAGTAGTAGTCGCTCCATACAAAAGAAAAGTAAAAAGTCACGCTCGTCTTCATCATCATCATCATCCCCCACCACAACTCCTCTTCTCCTTGCTGGTTTCCTTCGTTCTTGCTTCTTTCTTTCCTTCAACCCTCCAGCAGAGAGAGAATGACCTCATTTTCCACCGGAGGCGGAGGAAGCAGAAATACTGTTATTGACAGGCTGCCAATCATCCAGCAGCCTGGGCAGGTTCTGCAGAATGGCCACCTCCCTTTGAATCCTACGAAGTTTAGCATTGGGACTCTCAACGGCGAGTCTCGATCGATCAATTACCTGACCGGAATGCATGGCAGCAGGAGGATATCCGTCCAGAGCGGCCTGGAGCTTCTCGGCAGTAAGACTACTGCTGTATTGTCCGGGCGGGCCACCATCATGGTCCGAGTCGCGGACAGGGTTCATGTACTGAGAAGTGGTAGGGGAGGGGGCATACCACTCGAGCTCGGACTGAGCGGAGTGGGAGAGGGATGGCATGCGTGAGGTCGGGGCGGCGTGGTGGTCCATCTCAGTGGGAGACTCCTTGGGAGAAGAGGGGTGCTCAATGTCTTGGGCTCCCAAGACCGAGTCTTGTGCCATCACGGAGTCCCGAGTGGGGCTTTCGCGCCCCTGTTTGGCGAGAAGCTGGTCTTTGAACTCCTTCATAGTGGAGAGTAGGGCCTCGGAACGAGCGAGGTTGTTCTGTGCTCGCGCCTGGATCTTGGCAAGGTCGACGATGGTCGTGGCCAGCGGATTCGCTTCTGGTTCCGTGATGTGGCCGAAGATTCGGGAGATCATCTTCTTGTCCTCATCGGTGACGGCGATGCTGAGGGCGAGGGACATGTCCGGGACGGTGGCAGTGTCGCGCAGCTCCATCTGTGGCGCGGACTGACGGTCCTGTTCGACATGCTGCTGTTCGACGTGCTCCTGTTCGACGTGCTCCTGTTCGACATGCTCCTGTTCGACATGCTCCTGTTCGACAAGCTCCTGTTCGACATACTCCTGTTCGACATGCTCTTCCTCCTCCTTCGCGCGTGGGATATTGGGCTTCGGCACCGACTTTGGTCGCTTCTTCTTCTTCTTTTCGGGCTTCGTACTCAACGCCGGAAACAGGTAGTGGCCCTTTGGGGGTCTGTTCTTGAGACTGGTGGGATCCTTCTGCTGCTGCTTTGGCTTCTTGGTGCGGACAGGCTCTGCCTCGCGACTAGCCTCTCTCGGTCGCTTGCTGTTCTTGTCGATCACCGCTGCTGTCGACAGCAGCTCCTCGACCTGGCCCTCATCCTGCTCCTGGTGCATCTCCTCTTCATCAGGAGTAAGCGATCGCAGCTTGGGGTCCCTCGGCTTGAGGTTGGTGAAACGCACGGGCGCATTGGCGGACGTCTCGCTCTTGCTTTTGCGAGGGCGGACAGGGGCGTTGGCCTTCTTCTCTGCGTCCTTCCTGAGGTGGGCCTCGGCATCGATCCATTCCTGTGGAGTGTTCTCGTCAATGGCGTAGGAAGCGCCGCGCCACGTGTAATATCCCATCTCCTTCTTCTCCTCCTTCTGACCGTTATCAATGATCAGTTCGCGGACACTCCTGGGAACCTCGCCGGTCTTAGGATCGATGAGGCGACGCATGTGATCGTCTTCACCGTCGTCGGAGCCCGTGGGGGCGGAGCGGCGCGTTCTCATGGTCAGGGTGAACGCGTATTTTGTCGCGTGTGCGGTGCTAGCTTGTATTGTGCTGTGCTGTGCTTGCTGTGCGGTGCTGCGAAAAATGGATGTGGCTGGTGGTGTGGTGGTGAAATGTTCGCGGTACAGTAGGTGTACGAGGACAATACCGGGATACAGGAGTCTCAAGGAGGTGTTAGCAGAGACTCCAGCGGAAGTGATAAACAAAGAACAAGTAGGGGTGTTAGGATGAGGGGAGGAGGATGTTGGCGGGTAAAGTTGTGTCGGAGGTGGAGGTGTTGGAGAGAGAGAGATAGAAAGTAGGTAGTTGTAGGTGACTAACTTTGTGGAGGTCGAGCTGCCGAAACACGCGCCGCGCACGGGCCTGGCCACGAACGACAACTGCAACTTTATTCGAGCTTAATCGCTACCGGTGACCCCCGAAGCATGTGATTGGCTGCTGCCTATCCTTGTGCCTCTCCTTCTTGAGGACTCCTTTTTTGATATTCACTTCTCTCATGCACCCCCTATTGTCATCCTCACCGGGTACTCATTCACTTCGCTAGGAGGTATTCCCACCATCATTCACTTGGCATCATGGGCCACCCCTTCGCCTCCCCAGTCCCCTCAGCTCATCCTGCTACACTTGGTATGCCCGCAGTGAGTCTCACAGTTTCAGATGTGATGCTTAGGAGTGAAACCGTCCCCATGTACCGAACAAATGCCTGGTGGGCTTATACGAAATACAAAGGTACATGAGCTAGCTTCCCTGCATAGTCTGAAGAACAGCCTTGCTGAGTGACGAGTCTTGTGGCTGACCCTGTCTCTATTTGCTGGGCATGCCGCATGTTACAAGAATATCATCGTATCAACAAGTTTACATATATTCCATCGGACGCAATATGGAAATGAGCGAGCGAGCAGGTCGAGTGATGGCAGAGGTATCGCAGGGACGGGCAGGCGTTGGCAGCGACGGTCGTGCGGTTCGATAGGACAGAGTTTCCTGATACATTATTGACTGGAAAGGTCCCCCTTACTCTTTTGGGCATTTTGCTTGGATGATTCTGCCAAGGTCGAACACGTAGCAGAGGGACCTGTCTCCGATAGAATACTCACATTCAATTGTCTAGGCGGCCGGCATTTGACAGCCAGAATGGTACGCGTCCATCGCACAAGCCTGGACGACCAAGAATGTACTCGGTCCATCTCTCTCGGCGGCGGTGGCTCAGCCCTTCCAGAAAGCACCACATTCATACCCTGATCCGAAGACGATACTCCCTCCCAGCAGCAGCCAACACCGTCCACTTTCAAGATTTCGAAGCCTTCTTCTTCCTCAACCAATCCCGATGCGCCTCCGCAATCGTCCCAGCCTTCTCCAGAGCAAAAGAGCGCGAGCAAGAACCACACCGCATCCAATCACACCCGCTCCCTCGGTAAAAGACACCTGCGCAGTATGGACACAATCTCGAATCCTGCTTCACCAACACTTCTAATGTCTTGCGATCCTCCGGAGGCTCGTACACCCCTGCTCGCTTCCGCTTCGACTTACTACTGACCTCCTTCAACCGCATTCGATACGCCCTCTTCCAGTCCTTTCCTTGCTCTCCATATCCCAACAGCTGATAGACAGTCATGCCAGGCTTCCAAATCTGGGGACATACGGGGCATCCTATGCGTCGTGGATGTTTGGATTCGATCTGTGCGTAGAGGGCCCGTGCGAGGCAGACATTGCAGATTAGTTGGGTCGCGTTGGTCGTGGTCGTGGTGGTCGTGGTCGTGGCCGTGGTCGTCGTCGTATTGTTCTGACCACTAGCTGCTGCGGTGATGTCTTCGCCACCGCCACCGCCACTACCCAGGAGACAGGGACGACAGGATTCGGGGAGGTGGTGGGAGCGAGGAAAAGCGCTGTCAGGCTGGACTTCGCAGCAGATGTTGCATTCTCGCTCCGATGGTGGCTGTGGCTGCGTTTCGTTCAAGTCTTGACCTGGTTTCAGGGATGATAGTCTACGCTTGAGGTTTGCGCATATCTGCTTGAAAATAGCGAGGAGTGCCATTGTTGGACTTTTGAGAGAATTGTTTTGCGATGTGCAGAAGTTCCAGGAGAGCTGTTGACTTTTCTTTCACCACTGGAATTCGTGTGTGCGTTGACTCATAATTTGTGCTTGGTAGGTTTCTTGTTGTGTACCACGGATACAACAGACCCTGTGTTGCGGCAGAGTACCGAACCGGCACATGGCAACTCGTCCGCAAAGGTTACTTCCAACCATCGGAGATTTTGCTATGATGCTTGAATTTCAGCAGGGAGCATCAGCATCTTGATGAAAATAAGTCACAGAAAGAGACCAGTCTTTCATGCGGCATCGCCAATCTTCATGGACGTTTCGTGCACGACGGCATCGCTGGATCGATGAAGGCGGGCTAAGTTCTTAGGGGTAATATATGGGTCAGACCATATTTCCCTGAGTATAGTCTGATATCTGCCAATCAGTCCAATGCTCGGGTACGAAGACTCTCTGCTTGTCAAGATAAAGATCCTATAGAACTCCATAACGTGTCGTATGAGCTACTAATACAGCCCAGTTCTCGATCTCACGCCCGATAACAGACAACTCCTTTCCCAAAGAAAACCCAACTTGATCTATCAACCTGATGCCCTTGGGGGATGCCCCGATGTCGATGTCGTTTCTATAACTACAGAAATCGGTAGTGCCTACCTAAGCATCCAGAAGCGAGCTGGTATATATCGGACCGGATTCTCTTTTCCATGGCTGTCACTCAGCACAGAGCTGTTAACAAGTGTGAGGAAGTGGCATAAGACCACGAATCACCGGATTGTGGCATTATGTCCGCAGCACATCTACGTTACTTTCTGCGATCAATATGAAGTATTAGCTACAGCAGCAGCAGCAACTCCTGTCTTCGGACACTACTTACTGAAGACTATGTCTCCAAGCCCCCCGACAGTGTCCATCAAGAACGGTGCGATCGCTGGGCGTACACCTCGCCTCACCTATTGATACTGTCTAGTCCGTGCTGAACGCACATTGCATCCTCTCGCAGAGTTGGACCCCGATCGTAGACCTAGACTACATCGCCGGGGCGAGCACTAACGAATGGGCTAATTCTTTGGTCAACACTACACAAGACTTTACAGACAGGGTTACCGCTCACTTTTTGAATGCATACCTGCTAAGCACCAAACTCGCATCCCGGCTTTTAGGCTATACCCCTCCGACCCGACATACCGCAGTTCACTAGACGAAGAACTGGCGGCGGAGAATTATGTCTTTCCAGCTTCCCTGGAAGCCACGACACTAAGGATGCTCAACATGGACATCGATCCCTACCCTTTCCCTCCAGCTGCCCATTACGGCCGCGGTTATAATACCCCGAAAAATCGCTACATCAGCACTTCTAGTATAATTCCTCCAGGGCGAAAAAGCAGGACGGTCCACTTGAAGAAGAAGACCATGTGAGGATCTCATGCCGACTAGAACAGTAGAGGTCAAATTCACAGCCAGCTCTTCTAGTACAGGAGAACTAGTAAGTATGGAAGCATTGTTACAGACTCCTGCTCCAGGCCAAAAAACAAACATTGCATATCTCAAACTGCTCAGCTAGCGAAGTGCATCTGTGTATCTTATAGAGCTCTGGATCCACCATCTTCACTGCTATATATACGCATTGAACTTGCCGCTGACTCTAGATGTTTTCTATATTCTACTCGCAGCGGTGGAAGCTACCAGATTGGAGATTTACTCGTACTCAACCGTAATGTTTTATTAGAAATTGTATAGACAAAGGCAAGTAGATTGTTTGGTTCTAGTGTTATTTTCTTTGGAAAGTGCTCTATTGATTTATATGTTAACTTCTTCTTCTTCGACCCGAGACATTTGTAATAGTAGTACAAGTAATACTCTGTAGTCTCTAAAGAAACATTTCCTTTCCTTTCCTTTCCTTTCCTTTCCTTTCCTTTCCTTTCCTTTCCTTTCCTTTCC